ATTAATAATTTATAATAAAAAAAATATGATAACAATGAAGTTCAAATCTTATCATTTTGAGGAAGGATTTTCAAAGTAAATAATTGATTGATAAAAGCTAAAAAAACACACACAACAAATGAACATTATTTTTTATATATTTAATAGAATTTATTATTATTTGTTTCGTTATCTAATCTCAATGAAAAAAGTTATAAAACGTAATCTCGTGCTGGTTTATAATTCATTGCACTCAGACTAAATATATTTATATATTTTTTTTTGGCTAGATAAGATTATGTGAATTATAAAATAAAACAAATTTAATAAGAATTACGTGACCCATTACTAATGCATACAAATGAAAAAAAAGTAAAGAAATTTTGATAAAATTAAACATGTAAATAAAAAATTTCAATTCATCTTAATCAATATATGCTGCTGGTGATTTACGTTCAATGAACTATTTATAAAAATTGATTTTAAAGTAAAGTAATTTAAGAAAGTTGTTTAAAAATAGTTAATACGAATGAGGTATGATTGGCATCATTGGAGTTTAAATAGTGTTGCCAACTGTTTAAAAACAAAGTAGTCAGAGAAGCTTAAAAGAAGTGAGATTGTAAATTATTTTTAATGGACAACATTGGACAAGTCTATAGACTTGTATGTTGACTAGTTTGAAGACTAGGCTGTGGACTAGACAGTGCACTAATCTATGGACTAGATTGTTGACTAGTCCATATAGTAGACTATTGACTAGTCAGTAGACTAGACTATTGACTAGTCTAAGGCCTAGTCTGATGACTAGTCTAAGGCCTAGTCTGATGACTAGTCTAAGGCCTAGTCTGATGACTAGTCTAAGGCCTAGTCTGTTACTAGTCTATGGACTAGTCTGTTACTAGTCTATGGACTAGTCTGTTGTCTAACCTATGGACTAGTCTATTGACTTGCCTACTAGTCTGTTTACTACTCTATGGACTAGTCTATAGTCCTTTATGTTAACTAGTCTATGCACTAGTTCGTTAACTAGTCTGTTGACAAGTCTATAGACTTGTATGTTGACTAGTTTGAAGTCTAGGCTGTGGACTAGACAGTGTACCAGACTATGAACTAGACTGTTGACTAGTCAATAGACTTAGGCCTAGTCTGGACTGTAGTCCATGAACTAGTCTGTTGTCTATCCTCTGTTCTAGACTCTTGACTAGTCAATAGACTAGACTATTGACTTGGCTAAAGCATGGTCTGTGGACTAGCCTATGTACTAGTCCGTTGTCTATCCTATGGACTACTCTGTAGACTAATCTATGTACTAGTCTATAGTCCTGTATGTTGACTAGTCTAATAACAAATCTATGGACTAGTCTGTTCGCTAGTCAATGAACTAGTCCCTTTACTAGTATATGGACTAGACTGTTGACAAGTCTAACAACGAGTCTGTTAACTAGAGAATTCACTAGTCTATGGACTAGACTGTTGACTAGTCTCTTGACAAGTCTCAAGGACTAGTCTGTTAACTACTGTATGGTTTAGTCTGGTGACTAGTCTATGGGTTAGTCAGTTAACTAGTGAGTTGACTAGTCTATAGATTTGTCTGTTCACTAGTCTATGGATTACTTTATTGACTAGGCTGTCAACTATTCTAAGAACTAGTCTGTTGCCTAGCCTACGAAGTGGTCTGTGGACTAGTCTATTGACTATACTATTGACTTTTATATTGACTAGTGTATGGATTAGTTAATTGACTAGTTTATGGATTAATTTATTTACTGGTCTGTTGTTTAATGACTATTCTGTGGATTACTTTACTGACTAGTCTTTCTAACGATTTATTGACGGATAATGCAGAGAATAATCAAATAGAGATTTATTTCTAAAATGTAATATGGCAACATTGTTACAAATATTAACAGTGTTGCTAACGATTTCACATTGCTATTCAGTTTCCTCTGTTTTAAAACCTACATTCTCAGCACAACTGTAAATACCTTAACTAAATTTAACAAAAATTCAATAGAAATTCGAACAAACATTTCGTTTTATGGCGCATTATAGCAAAACCAAACGACACAATGCCAAAAGTTCAAAATTTAGTTAAGTTTAGTGGCTGGCATGTCATCATCATCATCATCATCATCGTTTCAGGGCATGATGAGAATAATGATGTTAAAAAGAAGGCACAAAAACATGACTACTACAAAAAAAAACACTCAAACAAGGAAACATATTTTTGGTTATGACGGAATTTATGATATACACGTGGAATTCATTGGAAAACAGGAAAAAAATGTTCTTACACTAAAACGCAAAGAAAGAACAAACTTATTCATGAATTTTAAGAAAACAGAGGGATGCACACAATTATTATTACAGCAAATTTGCCATGTTGCCAAAATTCCATTTGTTGTTATGTTGCCTTCCGTTCGCCTCTTACTGGGGTTAGCGTGTTGTTGTGTACTCTTAAAGCGAAAGGAAATGAAAGATTGTGCCACTTTATGCGTTTTTTTTTTTCGGGTTTAAAAACAAAATTTATGGCACTTTGACAAGTTTTTTTTCATATCTTGCTATATTTAGTTTAAAATTTTTTTTGTTGTTATTGCATTTTTATTTTATGTCGTCTAAAAACAAAAAATAAAAACTTGTAGTAATTTTCAATTTATTTATTTTGTTTGTAGTTTTTTGTAAAATTAGAAAAAAAAGACAATTTAAAACAAATAAATCATTTGCAGCGAATAGTTGGCTGGTTTTTGTTGTTTTTCTATGCCGTAAACATTATTCAGTTTTTGGCAAAACAATTTTCTGAAATTAGAAAACAATTAGGCAAAAAAAAGTAGGAAAATTCTATTTTATTTATTAAAACAAAGCATGGCATTTGTTAAAAAAAAAATACAATGTATTTTATGTTTGTTCATTTAATGTTGGGCTCTTGTACAAAAGACTTTTGAGAGACTAAGGGTATTGCGTCATTTTCTAAAAATAATAGGCTTAAATTAAAGGAATAAAATTGTTTATATTGCATAAAATTCATTTTCAATTCTTAATTTTTTGTCTTTTACATTTAAAAAGTTCTGAACCAAATTTTACGCGATAAATTATAAAAAAAAAAACGTTAGGTTTGGCCATACAGTAGCTCTGCTTGCATTGTTACGGGTTACCACACTTCTTAGATATAAATGTGGCATTTATAGCGATTTTAGGTAATAAGACGGATAAAGGCAATTTTCAAAGGATATCAACAACATAAATAAGGGACTTTATAGTGTAGTATATAGTTTAGTCTATAGTCTATTCTATAGTCTAGTCGATAGTATAGTCTAATCTATAGTCAGTCTATAGTTTAGTCCATTCTAGTCTATAGTCTAGCCTATAGTCTAGACTATAACCTAGTCTATAGTCTAGACTATAACATAGTCCTATAGTCTAGTCTATAGTCGAGTTTATAGTCTAGTCTATAGTCTAGTCTATAGTCTAGTCTATAGTTTAGTCTATAGTTTAGTCTATAGTCTAGTCTATAGTTTAGTCTATAGTCTAGTCTATAGTTTAGTTTATAGTCTAGTCTATAGTCTAGTCTATAGTCTATTCTATAGTCTAGTCTATAGTCTAGTCTATAGTCTATTCTATAGTCTAGTCTATAGTCTATTCTATAGTCTAGTCTATAGTCTAGTCTATAGTCAAGTCTATAGTCTAGTCTATAGTCTAGTCTATAGTCTAGTCTAGTCTATAGTCTAGTCTATATTCTAGTCTATAGTCTAGTCTATAGTCTAGTCTATAGTCATCATAGTCTAGTCTATAGTCTAGTCTATAGTCTAGTCTATAGTCTAGTCTATAGTCTAGTCAATAGTCCTAGTCTATAGTCTAGTCTATAGTCTAGTCTATAGTCTAGTCTATAGTCTAGTCTATAGTCTAGTCTATAGTATAGTCTATAGTCTAGTCTATAGTCTAGTCTATAGTCTAGTCTATAGTCTAGTCTATAGTCTATAGTCTAGTCTATAGTCTAGTCTATAGTCTAGTCTATAGTCTAGTCTATAGTCTAGTCTATAGTCTAGTCTATAGTCTAGTCTATAGTCTAGTCTATAGTCTAGTCTATAGTCTAGTCTATAGTCTAGTCTATAGTCTAGTCTATAGTCTAGTCTAGTCTAGTCTATAGTCTAGTCTATAGTCTAGTCTATAGTCTAGTCTATAGTCTAGTCTATAGTCTAGTCTATAGTCTAGTCTATAGTCTAGTCTATAGTCTAGTCTATAGTCTAGTCTATAGTCTAGTCTATAGTCTAGTCTATAGTCTAGTCTATAGTCTAGTCTATAGTCTAGTCTATAGTCTAGTCTATAGTCTAGTCTATAGTCTAGTCTATAGTCTAGTCTATAGTCTAGTCTATAGTCTAGTCTATAGTCTAGTCTATAGTCTAGTCTATAGTCTAGTCTATAGTCTAGTCTATAGTCTAGTCTATAGTCTAGTCTATAGTCTAGTCTATAGTCTAGTCTATAGTCTAGTCATAGTCTAGTCTATAGTCATAGTCTAGTCTATAGTCTAGTCTATAGTCTAGTCTATCTAGTCTAGTCTATAGTCTAGTCTATAGTCTAGTCTATAGTCTAGTCTATAGTCTAGTCTATAGTCTAGTCTATAGTCTATAGTCTATCATAGACTAGTCATAGTCTAGTCTATAGTCTAGTCTATAGTCTAGTCTATAGTCTAGTCTATAGTCTAGTCTATAGACTAGTCTATAGTCTAGTCTATAGTCTAGTCTATAGTCTAGTCTATATAGTCTATAGTCTAGTCTATAGTCTAGTCTATATCTAGTCTATAGTCTAGTCTATAGTCTAGTCATAGCTAGTCTATAGGCTAGCCTAAAGTTTAGTTTATATCCAAGTCTATAGTATATTCTATAGTCTAGTTTATATTCTCGTTTATAGTCCAGCCTATAGTCTAGTCTATAGTTTAGTCATTAATCTAGTTAATATTCCAGTTTATTTGGACAGTGTTGCCAATATATTTAAGAAAAAATAAAAAATAAACTCGTCTGCCTTACCTATGGATTGGTGATGCACCAGCTGGTAACCTTTGTTGATAGGCTGACATATTTGCTGCTTGCTGTTGTTGTTGTTGCTGTTGATTAGACTGTTGTGTATGCTGTGAATGATGTTGGGGTGGTTGATTGGACGTAGGTCCATTATCAGTATTTTGTGATTGTTTTTGTTGCTGCTGCTGCTGCTGCTGTTGTTGTTGTTGCTGCTGCTGCTGTAATTGATGATGGTGATGAAGTTGCTGTTGATGATGTTGTTGTTGTTGTTGTTTGCTGATGCTGCTGTTGTTGTTGTTGCTGCTGTTGTTGTTGATTTTGACCACCATTAGGTGGCGGTTGTGGACCACCGACCTGTACTGATGAACGTATGGCTGCTTCCATTTCATGCCGAAATAACAAATGTTATTAAATGTTATTACTTTAACAGCTGATCATCAACAAAGATCTCATGATGCAACATTTTACAAATAGAGTGAAAATTTCTTTATTGATTTAAATTTTTTAGAAAAACTAAAGTACTATATTTAAACACACGTGTGGCAGCTCTCTACTTTTTTCACTAAAATCGAAATGATTTTAGGCGAAAAGTTATTTAACACTACAAGTAGGGTGAGTATGAGTTGACAGCCCCCAAAAGGTTGTTTTGCAGCAATTTTTCTTTTATGTTTAAGGGTTAAAGGTTATTTTTGTTATGTTTAATTTATTTAACTTTTTGGAACATATTTTCTTTAGATATTAATATATTTTTATTTTTATATATTTTTTTATAACAACTGAACAGCACTGTAAGCAACTGGTATAAGATTATTAATTTTATTTTTAAATTACAAAATGCTCTGCTTTTAGCTTTTTTCTCTTAATATTTTCTTTAAATTTATAAATAATTTTTTATGTAGATTTTTACACTTTTATATTTATTTAATGATGTTGTTAGGTATAATATTGAATATTATTATTATTTTTTTATTAATATTAATAAATATTTATTTTATAAGCTGTTATAATTACTTTTATTTATTTTTATAGATAATTTTTGTATTCAGAAACTTTTTAGATAAATTTATATTTTTAGCATATGTTTACACTTATTTTTTATTTAGCTTTAAGCCTTAAAAACTATTTTTTAAAGATTTTTTTATAAATATAATTAAACCCCTTCTTTTGTTGTATATTTTTTTAATATTATAATTTCAATATTTTTCTTTATTATATTATTAATTAAAATTTATATTTTATTAATTTAATAATATTACGATTATTATTATTATTTTTTATATTTTTATATGGATTAAATTTAAAAAAGAACACAAGTTTTCTCCAGTATTATTAATTTCCACATTTTCTTTTTCTTTTAAATATTATGATTTTATTTTTATATTTTTTATTATAAAAAATTTTGGAGAAATCATTTGAAATATTTTTTTCACATCCTGTAAGTAAAGAGAGGAAATTGAAAAATCTAATTAGTAAATTTATAAATAAAATAAATATGTTAATAATGATTTTAAATTCAAAGAAATTTATTACAAAAAATTGTTGGAGATTCGTAAAAGTTTATTAACAATTCCAAACTAGGAAAATTTGCTTTATAGTTTTTAATTAATTTTTAGAGTGTAAAGTCACTAAAATTTTACATTTTTATAATTTCTGCTTTGTTTCCTTTATTTTTTTTTCTTATAATTTATTACAATAATTATTTCTAGTTTATTTTCCCAAGCATTGTAAATAATTAAAAATTTAAACATTTTACAAAATATTTTCCAGCCTCACGGTATAAAAGATGAAAAAAAATAACCTGAAAATAAACAGAGAAAACAAATGTTATTAATATAAATTTATAACAATTAACAAAAATATAATTAAAAATTGTTAAAATAAATTTCTAGTTTGTAATAAACAAATTTCGTACATGAAAATTAAACTGAAAACTATATTAAGACTAATAAGCACTTAAATTTTTAAGAGTTTAAATTCCTATCCAAACAGCTGTTTAAGTTTATAAAAAATTTGCCAACAGCTGATTATGTAAATGATCAATTACATTCGTAGTAGCAGTTGCTAAGGTAGTATTTTAAAATAAAGTATCAAATTACCCAAAAAATTAACGACATGTGCTAAAAAATTTTGATTTTAATATCAATAAAGAATACTTTGTAAAATACATTTTCTTAAAAAGAAATAATAACTATTACTTTTTAATGTGCTTTATTACTTTGTTTTGCATAAACTGTATGTTAAAAATCCCGCTTTATTAATGCTTCTTCTTTTCTTAGTATGGCAACACCAGTTTTATTAAATTTATAACGGTTCTAGGTTACCATATTTGTCTACAGTTTGTTTGGCTGTCACTCCAGACATGCAAATTCTGTACTTTCTATTACTATTTTTAATACTTTTCAGTACTTTTTCTAGTCTAGTCTATAGTCCAGTTTAAAGTCTAGTCTAAAGTCTAGTCTAAAGTCTAGTCTATAGTCTAGCTTATAGTCTATAGTCCAGTCCATAGTCTAGTCTACAGACTAGTCTATAGTCTAGTCTATAGTCTAGTCTATAGTCTAGTCTAACCTATAGTCTAGTCTATAGTCAAGTCTAACCTATAGTCTAGTCTAACCTATAGTCTAGTCTATAGTCTAGTCTATAGTCTAGTCTATAGTCTAGTCTATAGTCTAGTCTATAGTCTAGTCTATAGTCTAGTCTATAGTCTAGTCTATAGTCTAGTCTATAGTCTAGTCTATAGTCTAGTCTATAGTCTAGTCTATTGTCTAGTCTATAGTCTAGTCTATAGTCTAGTCTATAGTCTAATCTATAGTCTAGTCTATAGTCTAGTCTATAGTCTAGTCTATAGTCTAGTCTATAGTCTAGTCTATAGTCTAGTCTATAGTCTAGTCTATAGTCTATTCTATAGTCTAGTCTATAGTCTAGTCTATAGTCTAGACTATAGTCTAGTCTATAGTCTAGTCTATAGTCTAGTCTATAGTCTAGTCTATAGTCTAGTCTATAGTCTAGTCTAGTCTATAGTCTAGTCTATAGTCTAGTCTATAGTCTAGTCTATAGTCTAGTCTACAGTCTAGTCTATAGTCTAGTCTATAGACTAGTCTATAGTCTAGTCTATAGTCTAGTCTATAGTCTAGTCTATAGTCTAGTCTATAGTCTAGTCTATAGTCTAGTCTATAGTCAAGTCTATAGTCAAGTCTATAGTCTAGTCTATAGTCTAGTATATAGTCAAGTCTATAGTCTAGTCTATAGCCTAGTCTATAGTCTAGTCTATAGTCTAGTCTATAGTCTAGTCTATAGTCTAGTCTATAATCTAGTCTATAGTCTAGTCTATAGTCAAGTCTATAGCCTAGTCTATAGTCTAGTCTAAAGTCTAGCCTATAGTCTAGTCTATAGTCTAGTCTATAGTCTAGTCTATAGTCTAGTCTATAGTCTAGTCTATAGTCTAGTATATAGTCTAGTCTATAGTCTAGTCTATAGTCTAGTCTATAGTCTAGTCTATAGTCTAGTCTATAGTCTAGTCTATAGTCTAGTCTATAGTCTAGTCTATAGTCTAGTCTATAGTCTAGTCTATAGTCTAGTCTATAGTCTAGTCTATAGTCTAGTCTATAGTCTAGTCTATAGTCTAGTCTATAGTCTAGTCTATAGTCTATAGTCTAGTCTAGTCTATAGTCTAGTCTATAGTCTAGTCTATAGTCTAGTCTATAGTCTAGTCTATAGTCCAGTCTATAGTCTAGTCTATAGTCCAGTCTATAGTCTAGTCTATAGTCTAGTCTATAGTCTAGTCTATAGTCTAGTCTATAGTCTAGTCTATAGTCTAGTCTATAGTCTAGTCTATAGTCTAGTCTATAGTCTAGTCTATAGTCTAGTCTATAGTCTAGTCTATAGTCTAGTCTATAGTCTAGTCTATAGTCTAGTCTATAGTCTAGTCTATAGTCTAGTCTATAGTCTAGTCTATAGTCTAGTCTATAGTCTAGTCTATAGTCTAGTCTATAGTCTAGTCTATAGTCTAGTCTATAGTCTAGTCTGTAGTCTAGTCCATAGTCTAGTCTGTAGTCTAGTCCATAGTCTAGTCCATAGTCTAGTCCATAGTCTAGTCTATAGTCTAGTCATAGTCTAGTCTAAAGTCTAGTCTATAGTCTAGTCTATAGTCCAGTCTATAGTCTAGTCTATAGTCTAGTCTATAGTCTAGTCTATAGTCTAATCTATAGTCTAGTCTATAGTCTAGTCTATAGTCTAGTCTATAGTCTAGTCTATAGTCTAGTCTATAGTCTAGTCTATACTCTAGTCTATAGTCTAGTCTATAGTCTAGTCTATAGTCTAGTCTATAGTCTAGTCTATAGTCTAGTCTATAGTCTAGTCTATAGTCTAGTCTATAGTCTAGTCTATAGTCTAGTCTATAGTCTAGTCTATAGTCTAGTCTGTAGTCTAGTCTGTAGTCTAGTCTATAGTCTAGTCTATAGTCAAGTCCATAGTCTAGTCTATAGTCTAGGCTATAGTCTAGTCCATAGTCTAGTCGATAGTCTAGTCTATAATCTAGTCTATTATCTAGTCTAGTTTAAAGCCTAGTCTAGTTCTGTCTATAGTCTAGTTTAAATTAGTCTAGTCCTGTCTATAGTCTAGTCTATATTCTATATAGTCTAGTCTATAGACTAGTCTTCAGTCTAGTCCACTGTCTAGTTTATAGTCTAATCTACAGGCTATTCTATAGTGTAGTCTATAGCCTAGTCTCTACTCTATTCTAGTCCATTATATAGTGTAGTGTAAAATATAGTCTATTCTATGGTCTAGTCTGTATTTTGGTTTATATTCTAGTCTATGGTCTACTCTACAGACTAGTCTATAGTCTAGTCTATGGTCTAGTCTTTAAGCTATATAGTCTAGTCTACACTCTATTCTGTAGTCTAGTCTACAGTATATTCTATTGTCTAGCGTGTAATCTTGTCTGTAGTATAAGTCTAGCGGAATATTAGTTTGGTACTTAAAACTAAAATGTTCTATTTTTATTATGTTAGTTCTATTTCAAAATTTAAATTTTCCATGCCTGTCTCATTCATTCTATCTTTTAAATGACAGTGCTGCCACATCAAACTTAAACAAATAAACGGTATAATTTTATAACTAGGACAAATACCTATAAAGAAAGAAATAATTGATTTTCTATATATTTAAACAATAAAAAACCTCAGAATATAAATATTAATAATATTTAAATATTTACATTTTAATTTATCTTTACGCCAACAAAAAAAAATATATACACAATAAAAGATATATTTATTTAGGACCTGTTTATGTTTGAAACAAAGGAAATATAAAAATAACACAAGAATAAAAAAATTTTCCATTAATTTATTTTGCTTAAAATCATATTTTTTCCATATGTATAATATTTAAACCAGATTTTCAAGAATTAATATATTTTGTGTATTTTTTGCGGTTATTGTAATCTTTTATTTTTTGCAAAAAATTTCATCATTTTAATAATCAGGTTTTTGTTTCATTTTTTCCCCACTTTTCTTCTATATAAAAAGTAGCCCAAATTTGAATATTCATTATTTATTTTTTTTTTTTGCTTTTTTTCAAAATCTCGTTTTGTGATAAAACGTGCCAAAATTTTTATGGTTATCGCTTGTTTTAATATGTAAATTATATATTAGTCTGTATGTTTATTTAATTTTAAGTGTTGAACTTTGTTTTAAACAAATAAATTTGCGAAAAAAAAAATAAAATAAACAAAAACAATTATTCGACAATCAAAAAAAAATGTTATTTATTTTCACACATTTTTTATATTTGTTATTAATTGTGGGTATTTTATGGAAAAAATTTATTTTGGGTGTTTTTATGCGCATTTCTACGTCAATTTAAGGAATTTAAATCTTATTTGTAAAGATAAATTAAGTTGTTAGTAATTTGGAAAAAATACTG